TGGAAAAAAAAGGAATTGATCCTTTACAAGTAATTGTTACTAAATGATAATGAAGGAAAACCAGAAAAGATTTTAAATAAATAAATTCAAACTTGAATAAATAATTATGTTGCAAGTAAGTAAACAATTTACAGTAGCAACAAATACAAGGTTACATTTTAAGAATGTAAAGACAATGTTACACTTCATCCCTATTACATTATAGAAAAACCCACAATTATTGCTTATTCATGTTACAAATATACAGAGGCACATTGTCAGGGGCAGCAAATAAACTTTTTCAGCACTTGTTCCATTTCACTTCCTCCTCTCTCTGCATGGGAGCTTCAAAGTAACACCCCAAATGTGGATTACAGCACTGTTAACATTAACCAACAGAACAGCAACCCTGCAAAAAGCCACCCATACAGTAACTGGTACACTGGAGGAGTAAGGATATTATCGAATGGGTTTCAAAGGACTTATAAAAAAGAAAAAAAAATAGTTTTTATTTTAAATATCAGAAGAACCCCATCCTTGATAACTGTTTTTAAGAGTTTCCTGTGATGAGATTATTTCATGTGTTTTGACTTCTAAATAATTTAACATAATTTCTATAAAACCTTTTCAAAATGTAGTTGATCTTTCAAGGCTTTTCTTTTGAACCACCTGATAATTTATGAGAGTCTATCAAAAATAAGTACAAAATGACACAGACTATATTTTAGAAATGAGAACCACGTTTTTAATTTACCATTTTAATGAATTAGACGGAACTGTGTCTATTTTGTGCTGAAGTCTCAATAAGTTTGCTGCAAAAATTGTACAAATAAATAGCCTCAAATAGTTTCAAACTCAATACTTAAGAATTAAGACTTAAGTTCTTGCTCTTTTTGAGTTGCTGCAATTTTCTCCACTAAATTCAGTACGACCAAATTTTCACTTCAACATGTGGGCTAAATTCATGGCAATAGAGAGAATCTGCAAAATAAATTTGTTGTAATCTCTACCTCCTTTTCCCAGACTGGCAGAATTGAAATCAGTAACTGCTTTAAATCTTTCTCCATCTTCTCATTCTCGCCAGAACCAGAAATAGAAGCATCCACAGATCAAGCATTACATATCTTTGGGAATATGTTAGGAAGCAGAGCTGGAGATATTGTACCTTTGTAGGTGCTGCACAATCAAAGGTAAAAACCTGGAATTCTGAAATTGTGTTTGGATGTTGTTTCACATATTGTATTCATTTCTTTTTAGAAAGTAGGAATCTTGTTTCTAAAAATCTTCAAACTTTTTTTTAAAAAAACAGTAATTTTTGCATGAATTGAATATTTAGCATATGCAGCCATTCAGAAACAATGCTACTTTGCAATTATTTTGTCAGCTATTAAACTTAACTTTTAGATTAGCACATAATTTATTATCACTGTGTAATTACTAGCTTCAGGAAGTGTCACATTTAAGGAATGGTTCCTTGAACTTTGCTAGATTTCCTTACCTGTTCATATCATCTAGATGTTCAGCAGCAAAATAAAAACTTTTGATCTTAGGATGGCAGGCTTTGAACGCACTGTAGAGGAAAAACATAGTTATAAAAATGGAATAGCACAACTCTTGTTTTTTAAACCATAAGATAGTGTGGTCACCAAGGAATGAGAGGAGTTCTAATTTCCTGAGGTGTTAGATTTACCCGAACAATATATAAACATATAACTTTTAGGAGTGTACCAGATTTCACCAAGTAAAGTACTCTTGGACTACGTATTTCTAAATGATGCTTCATCCATATGTGCATAAATATTGTTCAATAATCACCTGCAGCATACTGTATTTGGATAAAGTTAACCAGTTAAGGACATAATTTCATGTATCAGGTAACTTTGCTGATGTACCTATAGGTATCAATTTTTCCTGAACAGAAAACTGACTGAACAATTTATCTGATACAATAAACTGACTGAACAATTTATTTCATACAATAGAAAAACTCTTAGTCCTGGTGATTTCTCACATCCCAATGACCTTCAGATTACCTTTAGCTGTAATCACTACGTTTCAAATAGAAGAACGGGAAGCACTGATTGACTTCTGAAAGGCTGCTATAAATCAACACTGTATTCCTGAGGTCATTCTAAGCAACGGGCAATTACAGCTCATCTTTTCTTTCCACCAAAATAATCAACATGACTGGGCCGAGAGAATTACTGCCTTTCATACATAATATGAAATAAATTACTATAAAGTATTTTCTAACTGTGTTGGATAAAGATTTATGGTGAAGTACTTCAGGATCCAGAAAATGCATCTGAAAGTAATTAATAATTTACAGTACAGAAGAATCATTTTTGATAATAGCCTGAAGGTCTCTCTTAAAATAAGAACAAAAAATGCTAACAGTCCCAAAGAAAATAAGGAAAACTGCAAACATGACACATGAAGAACATCATTACCATTTTTCTGAGACACAATGGATTAGAGAGAGAATTATTTTATATATCTCTTTATATATATACAAAATCCATTGTGTCATCAGAAAAATGGTGATGATGTACTTCATGTGTATCATGCTTGCAGTTTTCAATATATATATCTCTGTGTGTACATATATGTAAACATATGAAAATAGATTTTTAAGAAACCAGGTATATTAAATTGATATCCAGAAAAGGTATTGCTAGTGAAGGTAACATGAAATCAAGACAAAAAGCGTTACAGCATAACAAAATGTTATGCGAGTGAAAGCATACAGGGACGTTTGCTCAGTTTAGAAAGACATTATCAGGTTACTGAGACCCGGAACTCGACTTCTTAAAATTGTTGCAGCATCCCTTGTCTGGATTATTAGAGGGGTTTTTTTATCTGCCACCAAAGCAAGGGATTTTCATAGCTATGTTTTATGTTCTACTATCCGACAGGTATCAAAATGAGCACAAAAACCCAATGTAAGCAGGGTGCAATTCTGAGGAATGAGTTGACTTTATGCTGCTGCCCCAACAAAACAGAAAAAATGAAGGACTTCGGCAACGTAGCCCAAGGACACAGGACACTCAGTCCAAGCTGATATATATATATCTCTATATATATATGTATTTTTTTTTTTAATGCAGTTTTCATTTTCTGCCCTTGGAGACTACCATGAAGAGTACAGTTCATCCTGAAGAGATATGTAGATCAACTGATACAAGGTCAGTGTCTTCTTTAGAACTGTGTGTACTACAAACTATACTGTTTTACAATTGTTTTTCTGTACAAATATCAGCGATTCAACAGTCTTAGTAAACTTAAAAGAAAGGTAAAAGGCATTAAAAGGCAATACAAGAAGTTTTCAACACTACTGACTCTAAAAATACCTCTGTGGGAGTACAGAGCTGCCACATTGCTACATATGCTTGACTTTGCATCTAAATAAGAAATGGATTTGTGCAATGGCTCAAATCTGGACAGACGCAAACACACAGGTAGGCAAGAAGTTATTTAAGACCTTTAAAAAATACAGCAAATCGTCATTCTCTTTTTTCTCCTCTGCCTTGGGACTAACACCACTGTTTCAGCAAACTTTCAAATGACACTAAATAATTTGGAGTTACATGAAAGATTGATGCTTGGCCATTAACTTGAAGACTTTTTTATTTAGATTATTTTTATTTGGATTTTATTATGCTTAAAGGTCTTTATTGAGCCTAAAGTTATCACACATATACACACAAACCCCCACCAAACACTCCCCCCACTAGAAAAAAAACCCCAGAAAGTAAAGGAAAACTAGGAAAATAAATGGACAGAAGTAGCCAAGCAGCCCTCTTGCTCTTAATTAATTTTCCTCTAAACAAGCAGTGTGATAAAACAAAAAAAAAACTTCTCCAGGAAAGGTGGCACACAGAAACCACACTGGATTTGCCTCTTTTGTATGAACTTATCTTATGATACAACCAAATGTCATTGTAATAAAGTCCATTATGTCACTGAGTCAAGGAAAAACCTTGTCCTTTGTTCTACTTTTTCTATTGTGTAATTGCATTATTTTTGAGCATACTTACTATTTCTTGCGGCATTCACTGGCTCTGTCAATTTTAAATTCAGGTAGACTGATGAATCCTTCCGCTTTTTCATCCTGCAAAGACAGTTCTAGATATTACTGTTGTTAAGGTGTCAGAAAAAAAACAAACCCAACCCACCACACTGAAAATTTAAAAATATTTTCACTTGTCTGCTTCTTACATAAGGAATACTAATGTATGCTCTGCTCTGGCAAACCGCCTACAGAAGCCACCGGGACTTTTGCCAAAACAGTAAGAGAGATCCCTTGGTGTGAAATACAATTTTAAATACCCAATTTTCTCAAACAATTTCACAGCTGAAGCAGTATTTGAAAATACAGAAGATGACCAAATGTATTCAGGCAATTAGTTATTGTAATTAGTTAATTTGGGGGGAAGATGGACTAATTAGCAAGGAGAAATGCAGCCTACTGTAAGAAACAGGGAAAAAAGCAATTTCAATGTGTGCTGTTTACCATCTTTATATGATATCACATGTAAGAGGCATTGTACCTCTTCAGCTACTTTCATCTTTCTCCAACACTTAAGGAAGAAGACATCTGACCTTCCTCCCCCTCCTCTAAAGCTTTGTATATAGTTTATTTTATCATATATTCAGCCTCCCTTGACTTTTCACAATTCGAAAGCATTATTTATTTTAAGCCACTAGTACATCAGTAACACAGACTCTCTTATTTAACTGCTCATAACTTTGCATGAGAAATTAATACAGGATCATGAAAGTGAAGCTTAACATACACAAATGTCATGTTAATGAATTCCACAGAATTACATATTTTTCTCAGAATCTCCACAGTTATTTATGCAGTCCTTATGACTATTCTTAAAAATAAATAAATAGAAGACATAAATCAGCATGTAAAACTGGAACTGTACCTCTGGAAGGTATAAGGTTGTGACAGGTTCTGCATTAGCAGGCATTTTAAAATTGAAAGGACACTGTTTAGAATAATCTTGCCATTTCTTTTTTGCATGGTTGCCTAAGGAAACAAAATTTTCGTACGAGCACTGTTTACTTGACTGTCCATCTGCCACTGATGCTCCCCTCATCAGCTTGTGAATCTATTGGTGATTGCAGCATTTTGATGATGGAGCTGAGGTCTCAAAAATAACCAAATCTCAGCAAGTCTCAGGGAAACTTGGGACAAAGGGGAGACACAGGCGCTCAGTCCATTGCCCTCTCCATGGGAAAGTAAGACACAACTTAGTAGTTCCACACACTCCTTGGCCATGTTTGGTGACCACTCACTGTAGCTGTAAATATGAATTACTGCCCTGATGAACACCTCATAATAGACCTTGAAGAGAGAGGATGGAGAGGAGGGAGTTACCCTAACTGCTCTGAAGCTGGGATCAAAACACAGATGGGATGACTTTGTAGCAAAACAGGCTTTGGTAACTGTTCATAGAATGACTTGCTTTCTGTAAATGACAGCTTTCAGGGAAAAGCTGTGTTTCACAATATTTTACAAAGGGTATGCACAAATTCTTGTAGTGATTGAAAGAACAAGTCCAGGACTGAGTGCCTCCACACATTGGCAATGATTTTATCTCAGCATATTTTCTAATGAGACTAATTGAGTTTAAAATTAACATTTCCTAACTCATTGGCAAAAAGTTTTTTTGCTAAACCTGATATAAATAAACATGCATTAATGCAGAACATATTGCACAATCAAAGCTGCACACAGTTCAGTTGGGCTGCTCCAGCACTCCTAACTTCAGCATATATGAGCACTGAAAGCTTATCAAGAACTAAAAAGAAGTAGAACACAACTGAAAAAAAAGCATCTTCCTTAACTGCCAGAGGTTTTGGTGATTTCAATAGCACAGATAAACAAGGGATACCAGGCAATACATCATTAAAGTTTACACTCCCATGACTAAGCTTGAATGACAGGATTAAACAACTACATTACTACATTTTCCCTTTCAAGGGTTTGAAGACAGATTCATTTTAAGATGGTGAGAACAGGGCACAGGAAAGTGTGTTATTTCTCCTTGTAGTACATACTGAATTTGAAGAACCAAATATCTCCAGACCTTCACGGTAATTTAGTCAGTCAGTTAATATTAAATTCAGTATGATTATTTGGGTGAATAAAATTATTCACATACATAAGCACTCAAAGCACTGGCTTCCCACTCAATCATAACAGCAGCACTACACAGGGTATTTGTTGAGATAATGAGCATAGATGCTTACTTCTTCATTGATATACCAATATAGAGATGTATCCTTCAGGACAAACCAGTATTTTTTCCATTTCTGGGAGAAATAACTCTTGGCATCTTTCTTTTTCCAAAGCCAGCCTTCACAGTCCCCTCGCCCAAGATCTTTACACGAGATCCTTCTTTTGCTTTTACCGGGAATAGGAGCTGAAAATGATGAGGTCATGTGAAAGCATTTGATTTGCCCACTAAATCAACAAGACAGCTAGCCAGAAAGTATTTAAGAAAATTAATTAAAAATTTTAATCTCAATTTGCCATAAATAGATTTTACAAACATTCTATTTCAACCCCAAAGTCTATGTAAGGCACCATAAGTTAAAAATCAAAACAAATCAAAACAAACCATGTTCAGCACCTCACAAGCATATTCTATGGATAAGACGAAAAAGAAAAAAAGCAACATAGAAAAATAAGATATTATAGAGAAAAGTAAGGCAAGATATTTGAAATAACAATGGTTATTTTTAATTTTCAAAAAATTAATATTTCACATCAGATTAAAGCACACAATCTATAAATTCATGTACTTTCACACTTGGCTGTCAAATACAACTATGCAAGTACTTCACGGGTATTCAAAACCCTCTCTTTGTCACTGTCTTTGCAACTAAACTGTTCATAAGGCCTTTGTACTTCTAAATCAAAAGAGGACAATTTACTACGATACAAATTACCTGACAGCTTAGGTAATGAGCAAGGACTGAGGTAACGCATTACATACACACAAGTGGAAAAAAAAGCCCTGGCACCAAAGATGCCAGAGGCTAAGTATTCAAAAAAAAAAAAAAAAAGAAAAAGACAACAGCAGATATATGCATGTACAGGAACATGAGGAAACTACCAGTAATAGACTAACACCTTCTTAACGTGATCAAGTGACTAAATGTTGAATTTGAGCTAAAAAGTTCTAGTTGCTCAGATACCGCAATACCATAAACATTAATGTTGGCAATTCCCTTCCTACCAAAACATGAAAACAAATTTAATTTTTACCTTTGTTCTTCTTTTTACTTTTCTGCTGTAGAGAAGACTGCTGAAATGTCTAAAAAAAAAAAAAATCAAAATGGAAAAAGTGAAAATAGAGTGGTTATATTCAACTGCATACTTATCATAAAAGAAGTATAATATTGCAAGCGCTAAGTCATCACCAGGTAACATTAGCCAACAGACTTCTAGGTCTCAGAAAAAAAGGTAATTTTAGTTCATCTGCTCATAAGGTTGTAAAGCAAAAGCACACAGTGAAACTTCTTAAAATAGACCACAAATTACTTTGCCAACAAGTGAAGGTTCTGCTAATGAGGAAGGAATATCTCCCTTTGGTTAGTGTGATAGTGAAGCTACACTGCTTGTGCATTTCTAAACAGCATCTCATTAAGGTCTTCTTGACATATACATGCAAATACGCAAATTAACACTGCCTCGTGCAGGTGTGAAGGCATTTATGTGATGGTCTTTAGAACATCAGACAGCTTGCTCAGAAACAGGCCTAATATTTTTAAAGATATCAATAAAATTCTGCTAAATCACAACAATGAAAAAGTCTCCCAAATGAATATTCTGAAATAGAAACCACTTTCCTTTTGACCAGGTTTTGACTGGAAGTATTTCTCTCCAATTGATCCACTCCCACGAACCAACCCATTGCCTTGGCAATGAGACAGGATAGAAATTATTCCTTTACTTAAGATTCTAGCTTATTAAAAATGGCAATACATATTAACGTATTCCATGGTCATTTCTGGTAAAAAACTTTGACTCAGATAATCACCATCACCCTAGTGAATTAAAAAATAATCCTGTAATTAATCACTCCAAAATTTAAAGACATTATTTTAGTTTTAAATTTTAGTTTTCTATAGACAAATGTATTTGAGAATGCTAAAACTAAGAAAAGGCCACATGTGAGTGTGGTTACAGCCTCTTATTTCAGCTTACCATGAAGCAATAAAAAAACCCAAAGCTTTTGTACCATTTGATAAAAATGAATCTAAGCAAAAGCACTGACAGCCCTGTGATCCCAAATCCTGCACCTTGCAGATAAGACAAACCCTTACCCCTTGCTTACAAGGAGCTTGCAAGGCTCCCTTTTCAATTCAAAAACTGCTTTTAATTTTCTCCTCCCTGCTTCCCAGAGACCTGAGCTTACACACAGGAGGCTGAGGCTCAGCTTCCAAGGCATGTCTTGCCTCACATCTGTGACATTCTCAAGCAGCAAATACTGACATGTCCATGGGGATAAATTACCAGCAATACCACAATAATTGTAATATACAAAAATTAACTGACTTGGAAGATGTGCTGATCCCTTGTAGACGATATCTAAAGAAAGCTATTCACCTGTATTACCACCTCAGATGGTCAAAATAGGCCTGCACTGGGAACAAAAAAGAAGCCCATTTGTTCTCATTCCCTGGCTCTGGTCATTTTAATTCTGCTGCTAGTATCAATTCAACCAGCACCAGCTCTCAGCAAGCCGAGACAGCAACTGCATCCCAACTTAAGTCACATGAAATATTTCAACCTGCGTAGGGCTAAGAGAGATCTTTATGGCCCAGGAATCAGAATGACTGGGTGGAAGTGTGTAAATAACTCTCTCTTAGATACTTTGAAAATCTTACGTAATCTAAAGTGGTTGAAAAAACACACACACCCATACAAACCCAAAGCTTTAGCACTTCTCAGTTCACAACCCAGACAACTTCTTTCTGCTGCTTGACTTTTCAGTACCAATGTTTTCACAGTGCCAAAACAGAAAAGGAAAATCTTTGCTTGGTTTTCTTATAAGTGATTATGAAAGCAGATTAGAACAATATTAAAAGCCTGCTTTTTAAATGTTTCGACTGTAAATTGAACCTGCAAACGTGAGTTTGCACCTCTCAACTTCTGATCAGTTTTTGGGAAGAAAGGGTAATGAAGGGGTATCAGTTTTTTATAGGAAGACAGCATGTAATTTAGACGTCTAGCCATTTTTCCATACATAATGTCATATTGCAAAATAGAAAGGTTTTATAAAATTCAGTTACTTTTCTAAATGAGCTCATTAAATTAAACTGTAATTAAGGACAAAATCTACAACTGAGTGAAGTTCCTGGGAACTATTCAACCACCTTCAGTGATTTTAGCTAACACTTTATAGATTACACAGACTTCAGGATTCAAGTTGGTTTGCCCTTTGCAACAACAGCACCAGGTTTTTGTTGTTTGGTTGGGTTTTTTTAACCTGGAAAATGTACGTGTAAAACATGTAATATATAGTATGTAATAAAAAAAAAAAAAACCAACAAAGTGAGAAAGAAATCTAAAAGTGCTCCTTCTGTTGCCTTTTTTTAGGAAATCACTGGATACAATCTGCAGACTCTTCCAAGTTATTAGATGTTTAGCCATTTTCTCAGTGCTGTTTAGAAACACAGAATGATGAATGAGGTCATGTCCTTCCTCCTGCTCAGAGCAAGGCTTGCTTTGAAGCCAATGCTGGATCATGTTCTTCAGGGTCGTCTCCAGCCTGGATCCAACTACCTTCAAAGAAGGAGATTCCACAACTTCTTTAAGTGACCTGTCCTAATGTTGGCCACCATGCTTCCCATTTTACAGCTTAATTCTGTGATGTGGCAAATATGGAAATAATACAAATAATTTTTTTTCTAATGCCAGGAACCCTAAAAATATGGATTCAGACCAAAGCCAGAAATTTAGTTGTACTAAAGCAAGTTTGCTGCAAGATAATGTTTAATCATTCAACGTTATGTTCACTACATTTTGATTCTGATACATCCTGAACTTTGAGTAACTGCTTTCACATCCATCTCGTCCCAGTTTCTAAGAATTAATCTCTCCTACTAAACCCAAGAGCAAGCATGAAACTAAATAGAAAATAGCATTCTATATTAAAGATAAGCTGTTAGTAACTCAAAATAACAAATAAAGGAAACAAGACGGCTACTGAAAAGATGAAATGGATGAATACCTTAAGCCAAATGGAAATTGTCACTCCTGAAAAGAATTTGAAACTGTTTAAGCATATTCTGAATTATATGCTTTCTAGTCACCCAAAATACAATTAGCAAAACTTTCCCTTATCCAGAAGCAAAGCATCACTTGATGTTTAACATATATCAAAAATCCCTTGAATACTCTGAGCCTCGGGTTTATTGAATGCAATAATTTTTTCCCGTAATATGTGATGTTTGAGCTTGTTGTATTTAATAATATACTTAAACTAAACCCTCTGACAAATGCACATCTAATCAGAATATCAAATAAACATTTTAGGTGTATATGTATGTCTGCCTTGCTATCAGCAGCCTCCGAAGCACCTGTATTTCAAGAGTAACAAAAGGAACAAAAGAGGAACAAACCATCATTTATTAAAAGGATTTTTGCTATGTTTCTGTGTTTTGTTGTTTGTTTTTCTATTTTTCTTTAACAAAGATGCTAGCCCTACCTTTTTGATGGCTTAGCTACGCATCCCATTAGTCAATGGAGATTTCATTGTGCATGGAAGAGCCATAACAGTTCCTCTCTTCTTACAACTGTTCATCACCAAACTTGCTTGTGAGCTGTATTTACTTTAACATTCTTCAAAATGATTGACAGAGTTCTGAAAGCTCATCAGAAGGCTGCACAGATGTAAATAACATTCTGCCCTAGGGTATGCTTTTCCATGCATTTAGGATTATAGCACAGTAATACAGTTACAAACTTCCAGGTAGAAAAATTCCAGGTGGAGGCTCACACTAACAAAGGAGGTCACCAATGACCTACAAATGTATTTGTTCCTTTAGCAAGAAAATAATCACATATAGATGGTATAATCTACAATATATGCATACACACAGTCATTCATCAGCATCTTTGTACGTATAACACAAAATTTTCAAGACATTAGACCATCAGCTATGCAGGTTTCTGTCTGCTTCCAGCTCTTGAGATAAAGTATTCATTCTTGGTTAGTACCACACCTTCTGCATATTTGCTCAGAAGGGAAGCACTGCTGAAAGTTAATCATTAACATTCAGAAGCCTGAAAAGGTGAGTATTTATTATGAACTACTTAGTACCAATTTGATAGCTTTCTATTTGGAAGAATGTATTTAGATGAAAGTGTTAAATAATTTAAGTTTTAATTAATTTGTTTCATGCCAAATAAAGTAAGTTAATAAACTGATCTTCCAATACTAATATCAAACTGGAGTGAAACTGCTATCAGGAGAGATGAATACTCATGTTATGATGCAAGTTAGAAAATTTCTATTCCAGTTGATACCTCAAATAAAAGTAGAAGCCAAGCAGACTGGTTATCAGAACAACTGACTCGGGTCAACTGGTTGTTTTGCCAAACTTCAAGAGGCTGAGGAGGAAGTCTAAAGTTTTGGGGCCAAACTATTCCTGTATAAGAGCTTCTCCAAGCTCTAATATAAATTCCATGTGTGAACAACAGAACACGACATCCATATCCAAAAAAATAGATATATTCTAATATTTACTTCAACCCCTTTACGGTGACAGCATTTGTAGGTCTACCAAAATAAAAGACCATAACTGAAGCTTCTCTGAAGATCTGAATTGGCCATAGCAATTAGTACTAAATTTGACAGCTCCTAAAATCCTCTTTCAAGTTCTTATTTGTTTCTTCACTTTTCTTCAAAGATTTTGCACTTGCTCATTTTCAGACACCTGGAAGAGAGAACCAGGTTATGGAAATAATAATCTCCAATTCTTTTACCTGAATTTCAGCTCCGTATGATTGGGAAAGAAAATGACAGGTATCTTTATAGGTTTTTTGAGAGCTCAAGTCAAATCCAATTTTTCTCAAGCCACAAGTTTAGACACAAAGGAACTATTTACAGTCAGACAGTTCCCCTCTGTCACTGTAAGATAACTTCCCCTGGTTTCAGCAGAGTAGCTTGTAACATTTGTGATTACTGGAACTTTCTGCTGCAGGTGGAAAAGCCAGTATCTAGAAAAAATGAAAGCTGGTGCTGCCAATTATTTGACTGATCTCTCACAGTCAATTCTTTGAGAACGCTGGCAATGTTCTGTTTTC